TAAGGTCTTCCTGAGCAAACGTTTTCTAGTTCTTGTCCTTTTGAAGAAAGAATTCAGTTGAGACAGATAGTTTAACCTAAAGCTTATTTAGCAAAGCAAAACAGGGGCTATATCATAGTGGGTTCTGCTTTTTGTTGTTTTTGTTTTTAATCTTAAAACCATGGTCTTACTGTGTAGCCCTGGCTGGCCTAAAACTCTCTAAGTAGCCCTGGCTAGCCTCAAACTCATCATATAGACGAGGCTGGCCTCAAACACACAGAGATCTGCTTGCCTCTTCCTCCTGAGTGCTGGGATTAGAGGCCTGCACCACGGTGCTGTCTAACATTAATTTTTGTTTTAACTGTGTATGTCTGTGTGTGTGTTCATGGGGCTATGTGTACATGAATGCAGATACCCACAGGGGGGCTGGAAGAGGGCATTGGATCCCTGAAGGTAAAGTTAGAGGGGTTGCAAGCTGCCTGATGTGGGTACTGGGAACTAAACTCTTTTACTTTCTGTAAAAGAGTACGTAGTCTTAACCACTGAGCCATCTCTTCTGCCCCTATGTTGTACATGTTAAGAAATTTTTAAGATGAATTTTTATAAGCTGAGTGGCATATTCATTAGATTAATGTGACCCTTTCCCTCTCAAATCATGGTGGACTGGATTTCCTTCTTAGGGTATTTCTTCTGAAGATCTCTGGAAAGGTCTATGGTGGGCAGAGCACACATCAAAACACAAATGCACAGGACTGTAATGAAGTCATACCTTTGCGGTATGCAGGTCTTTGTTAGAACTCACAGTGGAAATCTTTGTCAGCTTCTACCATATCAGCAAGAAGCTAGCTATAGCTTGCTGGATGTTTAACCTTAAAGGGGTCTCAGCCACCAGGATGCAGCTGCAATTTCCTTGGTTCCCCGTGTGTCCAATTCTTGGCCAAGCCAATAATAAAAGTTCAGTGGATTACTACAAGAATTAACGATAACAGCTACAGAGCTCAATGCAATACACAGCAATTTAAAGATAAATTTAATTCCCCTTTTAGATTAATTTTATGTTTGTTTGAGATTATTGATCCTATAAAACTTTAAATGCAATGAAAGGGAAATTCCCTAGTGAAGGCTTAAAAAATGCTGAAAGATTGTCAGAGGCCTCAGGACATACAAAGAATTATTGGCTTGTTGCATTTTTAAAATTGTAATTTGGGGACTTGGAAAGATGGCTCAGTGGTTAAGAGCACTGAGATTTGATACCCTGTGCCTACACCGAGGTGCAAAACTGTTTGTAATTCTAGTTCTAGGGGATTCATCGCCCTCTTCTGGCTTCCAGAGTCATAAGACATACACATGATATGTAGACATGCATTCAAACACCCATGCATATATAGCAAAATAAAAATGACAGCAATCTGTGATTTGTAGTTAGCTGTAATAACAAATACAATCAAAGATCCCTGGAAGATCGTGAGTTTAAGCTCAGCCTGAGCTACATAGTGAGTCCCCATGGAAGAAAATAACCAGCTAAATAAAATAACAATTTGTTGTTGCTTCCTGGTCTAGGCACATATTCACTTTTGCTTTTGCAATTTTGTTTTATAATATTTCCTCCTTTAAAAAACAAATAAAAAAATCCTTCCACCTTCAGATGTATAAGCTTCAAAATATCCACAAACTGGGTTTGAAAACAATTAAAAACAGAATATTGCTTGCAGATTAAATCCTAACAGAAATGCCAGGGGACCTTGCAACTCATTTTGTGAGCTTTAAATTCGCTAATTTTGCTTCCTTTTTATTATGGCTTTGGGAAGATGCTGACCTCCTCTGGTCTCTCTGGCTAGTCAGACCTTCTAGAAATCACTTTAAATATAATACTCCCACCAGGGGCTACTCAGTAAAGACTCCATGTTAAGGAGAGGGGCGACAACATACCAGAGACCCCATGGCATATGTCAGAGAGAAGCACTTCACCTGAGGAAGAATTAAATCGGATTCAGATACCACCAACTATTTAATACTTTAGTTTTCAACTCAGGAATATGAAGATGGTTCATTCTCACTGTTGACTTGGCTGGATTAGGAATCACCGAGGGAATTGCTGAGGTACGGTATGACTGTGTCTGTGAGGACATTTCTGGAGGAGGTTTTAGTTTGGGGGAGAAAAATCCACTCTGTATGTGGGTGGCACCTTCCCAGGGGCCCGGGGCTTTGATTGAACAAATGGGGAAGGACAAAGTTGGCGGAGCCTGACGTACTCCACCCCATCCCTGACCTCTGCTCCCCTGCCGTGATGAACCCACACCACCTAGGCTGTGAGTCAAGAGTGTTCATTCCTTACCTGAAGTCATCTCTGCCAGACACTTCATCTCAGGAGCAAGAAAGGTAACAATGCAAGGGCCAGCCTTTTTGCCAGTACAGCGTTATTTCTCAATACCATCACAGGTTAAATAACTCAACGTGATGTCATTGTGAATTATCAGAAACTGACATCAAAAGGTGGTTTTGGACAGACAGAATATTACTTTGTGTTCCTTTTAGATTAGAAATCCTTGCTGTATTTGTGCTTCTCCTACAGCGATTCCACAGAGCTCACTGAGGCCCAAGTGTTTGTGAGTGACGCACATCTGACTACTGGCTTACTTGAACACCATCTTGGGGCTGCAGTTTGGAGGCGTTTGCCACAATGCAGGCCTTCTCTCATTAGCAGGGAAAGTATAATGTGAAATTTTGAATTAATCACTAGGGGTAACGCATCAGGCCGTCTCCAGAATTTTGCCAAGGTAGTAACAGAAAAATAACCGCTGTTTGTCTAAAGAAAGTAGGAGCCCATTTGAACCGCTCCTGGAGGCAGTGGGGAGATTAATGTGCGTTGACAGTTGTACAGGTTTAATTTGACTTGCGCTAAGATGGCATCAATATACATCTTCTCTTGCCATCCACTCCCCTTGAATGCTGATTAATTTGCTCTCATTTCACCCTGAATGCTGCCAGGCTGTTATGAGTCGTAGCCATCTGGCAGTCCTATTTTGTCTCCCCAGTCCTCTAAAAACTAGAAGGAACAGAGACATTCTTTTCCCCAGCCTCAGTTGAGCTTCTCAGAGTTCCTGGTCCTCTTCTTGGGGATGCAAGGCAGATGTCTGTCCAGACACTAGATTCCAGCTCACAGGTTTTGGTTGTACCTGAGGAGCACAGAGCTCTTCTGTTTCAGGATCGGAAGTGATGACGAACAGAGTGCGTATGTCAGAATTAACAGTTCCACGGTATAAAAAAGGGTTTTGTGAGGTGCAGCCACTCCCATAAAGTGGTGTTTATACACGTACGTTAACACAGCACCCAGAGACGGAGCCCTTAAACGCGCATAAAATGACATTGCTGACGTTGCCTTAACAGGAAACCGTCTTAGCAATTGCAGCATTTTTCCTTTATAATACTTTCAGAAGAGTTAAACCTATTATCCCACATGTAAAAGAAATAATAAAACTGGCATAAAAGCTCATTTTATTTCAGAGATAATGTTTTCTAAAATTCAACTTTTTGAGGTATGGTTTCCGTATAATGAAATACACTCATTTCTTTGCCTCGGTTTGAACTTTGGCACTTTAATATACTCACAAAACCAAAATGCAGATAGCATGCTTTTCTCATTCAGCTCAGATTGTCCCTGTGTCTGTGTCAAGGACAGTGCTTCTCAGCTATTCTTCACTACCACCAGCAGCAGGACAATACCAATATTCTGTCAACAAAGATTAAATTGACTCATTGTAGAATTTCATAGAAATGGTATCTTTACAGATTATAGGGTATGGGCTGACTTTTGCTTAGCACAATTCATCCCTGTTGTTACCTTTTTTAGTAATTCCTGTTTTAATATTAGTGGGATTTCACTTATGTAGATTGCACATCGCTGTGGAGATGTCATATATATTTCTACCCTCCTGGATGCTATTTGATTGGCTGCTATCCTGATCACTTTGTGGAGAAGTGTTTTTGTGGTGGTGTATTTTAGTTTCTCCTGAGTAAATACTTAATAGTGGAATTGTCGGCATTCTGATAAGTATATCTTTCACCTTATGAGAAATGGCTTTCCATCAATTAACAGTCTCACCAGCAAGGTTTGAAGCTTCCAGTTGCTCTCTGACCTGACATTTGACAGCCCCATCTTTTCAAAATTTTATCTGTGCTGATGTGTGTAATGGCATGTCACTGTGAGTCTAACTTTAATTTCTCTGTACTTTAAAATGGATTTATTAGCAGTTAGGCACATCACAAGGTCAATAGATCAGATAGCTGTCATTAAAAAGACAATCAGTTATACTCAGTGTTCATCTGTGAGCATGGTTCATGGGCATAGCAATACATCATAGCATACATCAGAGTGTGAACCCCACCCACCTCCTGTATGGGCTCTTAGTTTGCTGTATTCTTAGGTACTTAACTAGCCCAGGGGACAAGTCCTTCTGAAGTCAGCAAGGACCCAACTTGGCAAATCATCAGCCTGACAGAACAAATAGACATGACTAATATCCTCAGTGAGTAACGGGCATCTTTTTATGTGTGGTCTGGCCATTCATAGAATTCCTCTTGTAAAGTATTCATGCATTTTATCTATCTTTCCCTCCCGTGTTATTTTCTTGAGCTTGGCCAGTTAAATTCTTCTGTATTCTGTATACAAATCTTTCCTCAGCTATTTGTTTTGTATATGAACTCTCCTGTTCAGCTGTGCAGTGGTGGCACACGCCTTTAATCCCAGCACTCGGGAGGCAGAGGCAGTCAAATCTCTGTGAGTTTGAGGCTAGCTTGGTCTACAAGAGCTTGTTCCAGGACAGGCTCCAAAGCTACAGAGAAATCCTGTCTTGAAAAACAAAAATACAAACAAAAATATCTCTCCTATTCATTTGCGTGTTTTTCCATTTTCTAATAATGTGTTTCAAACAAGTTTTAAATTTTGATGAAATATCATTTAACAATTTTCTTTCTTTTATTGATAATGTTTTATATATTTTAACTAGTAAATCTTTGCCTACCCATAAAGCATAAAAATCTCCTTTTTCTCTGGGTATATAATAGTATTAAACATGACATTAAGCCTTGTGATTCTTTTCAAGGTAGAATTTTGCATGGCCTGAATTGAGGTCCCATCCCCCACCTCTCCTAGTAACATAGCTAAAAAGTCTTTCCCATCCTGAAGCAAATTGGCATTTTCATTCACGGGAAACCAGCTGAACATTTATATAGGGATTGATTTCTGATTTTTGTATTCTGTTCTAACATCACATTCTCTTTGTTTCTGTAGCTTTAGAACAAGCCTTGAAACCAAGAATGTGAGTTATACAACTTTGAATTTATTGACTCTTTGGGTTCTTGTTCCCTTTAAATTAATTTTAGAATTAGACTTCAGAAGGAAAACTAGTGGTTGAGATTCGGGTTGGGTTTATGTTGAACCTACAGGTCAATTTAGAGAGATAGACTCTTCTGTTGAGTCTGTTATCAATGTACTTGCTAGTTCCACATTATTAGACATTTTAATTTTCTGTAGATTTTTGAATACATATTTCATTTATTGCTCTTTTGTGCTGTTAACATTGAATCTAAAATTTTCAGTTTTTAGTTATTTATTGTTAATATGTGGAAATACAGTAATTTTATCTTTATATTTGAGATTATAATGTGATTGTATCATTTTCCCCTTTTCTTTCTCTAGCTCTCCCATATATCCCTTCTTGCTCTCTTGCAGGTTTGTGGCCTCTTTTTTGCATTAATTGTTGCTACATCTGGGTATGTATATATATATATATATGTATATATATAGTTATATATAAATATATACTAAATTATATATTTATAATTTATATTTATATAATTTATAATTATATACTAAATATAAATAAATATATACTAAATATATATATAAATATTTGCTAAATATAAACTGCTCAGAACATATAATGCTACTCATTTGTATGTTTTTGTGTTGACTATTTGGTGCTGGGTAACCAATTATTATGCTCTTTCCTGGGAAGATTATTTCTCCCACTTCTATAATTCCTTCGATGTTGTAATCCTTTGTGTAGGGTTGTGTTGTAGCCAGATGTTGGGAAGATATTCATTGGGGTCCAGCCTCAACTGGTTCATATGTTCCAGGGTAGGGGCACATGGATTAGAAATGATAGGCAGAATAAACAGAGATACAAAAGAAACACAGAGACATAGGATAGTCTGAGAGGGCAGTCCAGTGAATACTGAACGTGCCTTTGTTTATTTCTTATGATCTTTAAATACCTCAATCTACAAGAAAGCAAAAGATTTTTTTAAAAAAATAATTATACAAGGAAAAAGCAAAGTGATTATCATCTTAATACCCAGAACACCAAGTAACCACACCCTAGGTCAAGACAGCTACTTAAGAGTTAAATCTCCTATCAAAAACCTTGAAGGAGCAAGAGTAGGCCTAAACTCTCTGACCTTTTGTTAAGGTGAAATGGATCCACTTCTGTGGGTCATCTTAATACCTAAATACCAAATAACTGCACCCTAGGTCAAGATATCTGTGTTAGTAGCCACACCTTAAGTCAGATCTCCTGTCGATAACCTTAAAAGAGCAAGACTAGGCCTGAACTCCCTGACCTTAAGTCGAGGTGGAATGAATCCTCTTCTGTGGCCTCCTGCAGGGTTGAGGCTCCCCTTGCCCATCCTGGCACCGCTATTGGCTATCATTGTTGTCCTTGTTCAGCTCTTGCATAGGCAGCCCTGTTGGTAAGACTTTGTGGGTGTAGCTTCTGACGATACCAGGGGACAATCTCACTGCAAACTCCCTGATCCATGTCCCAAGGCACACTTGTGGAGGTATGAGGACAATTTTGGGGTTGATTCTCTTGTTCCACCTTGCTTGGAGGGCAGGGTCTCTCATTATTTCTGCCATTATGAACTTCCTGCCAGTTCTCCTGTGTCTGTAGCCAGTCATGTGGTGTGAGTGCTAGGATTAAAGAGGTAAACCATGGAACCTTGCTGTTTATGAAGGTTCTGGGCACCAAACTCTGTTTGCCAAGGTTGTAAAGCAAGTGATCTTGATTGTTCAAAGTCTGTTTTTTAATATAGTAGTCTTGTATCTTGAGACCTTTATAAACATGTTTGTTGACTTTTTTTTAAAAAGTTAATGTTCTGTTTAGCATACAAATAAATGAATTTCATTGATATTTACACACACACACACACACTCACTTTGTTCTCATTCAATATTCACCTCACTGCTATTCCCCATTCTCCCTATCCTTCTTGCTGGTCCTTTTACTCCCCACAAATATTTCTTGTTTCTGATGTATATCATCTATGTATGTGTGTATGTATGTATGTATGTATGTATGTATGTATCTATCTATCTATCTATCTATCTATCTATCAATTTATCTATCTATCTATCTATCTATCTATCTATCTATCTATCTATCTATCCTTCTATCTATCTAACATTACCTTCTCTTGTTACCACTTCCCCCTTTAGACATCTTCCTCTTCTCTCATAGTCTTCTTAACACTTTCATGTTCTATGTGTGTGTGTGTATGTATGTATGTATGAATCTACATTCCAAGGGCTGGAGAGATGGCTCAGTGGTTAAGATCACTGACTGCTCTTTCAGAGGACCTGGGTTCAATTCTCTGCACCTACATGGCAGCTCAGAACTGTCTATAATTCTAGGTCCAGGAGACCCAACACCCGTGGCAAAACTCTGATGGACTTAAAATAAAAATAAATAAATTTTTAAAATCTACATTCCATAAATAAGTAAAAGTATGTGATATTTACCTCTGAGTCTGGTTTACTTAACAATAATCATTATTTTGTCTATGTTCATAAAAAGGTCATGATTTCACTATTATTTATAGCTGAATAAAATTCATTGTATATATACATCACACCATCTTTATCCATTGATCTGTTATAGATCTCTAAGTTGGTTTCTTATTGGTGTGGGAGAATGAACTGTATTATGTCAATTATATTTTAAATAAATGCTTATTGGCCAGTAGCTAGGCAGGAAGCATAGGCAGGACAATCAGACAGAAAGTAGAGGCAGGTCAATGAGCTCAGGAGAATATTGGGAAGGAGGAAGCCCATTCCTCTGCACTCTTGGCCCAGACACAGAAGAAGGAAGATGTGACTGCCTCGCTAAATAAGGTACTGAGCCACATGGCTAACACAGATAAGAATAATGGGCTAATATAAGTTATAAGAGTTAATAAAAAGCCTGAGCTAATGGACCAATCTGTTTATAGTTAATATAGACCGACTTAACTATTGCAGGAACCAGGCAGGACAGAAAACTTCAGACAACACTTATCCTGGCTGTTTTGATGAGTGTAGCCAACAGCAATCATGAATATACAAGTATCCTGCCATATAATAACGCTGAATCCCTTGGGTACATATCCGGGAGTCTTCCACCTAGATCATACAGTGGTCTATTTTTACTTTTTTTGAGGACTCCTCATACTGTTTTCCACAAGGACTGTACAAATTTATCTTCCTACCATCGTTGTATAGGGGTCTCTCTTTCTCTACATCCTTGCTAGCATTTGTTGTTGAAAATTTTCTTCAGAGTAGCCAAAATCAGTCGGCCAGGTCACTTTACTCTGTGTGCCACACACTTTCCATTTTCTGGATGTACCCTGATGGGAGAGCATTGAGATTCGAGGTATCTATCATTTCTCCCACTTTTGTATCTAGCTCAAATATCTCGAGACCTTTCTCTGAGCATCTGGGCCTTCCATTTCTTTTGTGCAATTATTTCATTACATGGCATGTGCTCTTCTATGACAGAAACACAAGTTAGAGTTTGAAAACAAATTTCTTTTCAAGATTTTCATCCTTAAATGGTGAGGCTGGTTTCTTTAATCCCTTTTTGTTCTTCCTACTACCAAATTGACTACTTCTGATTATCAATATTCGTATAGCTATATAATACATTTGGGCAGGCCATTTTTGAAGGGATCTGTGCTCAGTTCTGTACCACTAATGCTGGGAAGGTTGTCAAGTTACAGAACAGGTTGCTTTTTAACTTTGTCCCAGGGAATGACACAGAATTCAGTATTCAGAAGTGATCTGTAGACAAAAATATTTCCTATGATGTAGAAAATATATTCTGTTCAAGAATGTTTTTAGATTTTTCCATAATTTGGTTGGATGGAGTCAGTAACACAGACTCTATATTTTGTATTTTATTATTTATGGTAACACTTGAAAGCATTCCATATTCCTAACCCTTTTCACACTTGATTTTGCTCTTTAGGGAAAAGAATTTAAATTCTTTTCTTCCTTAGGACATGTACATTTCAGAAATAAAATGTCTTGGTTTTGATGGTTTTACTGGTTATACTATTTCACCTTTGAAATCCAGAGATCTTATTAGGTTTCTATTATTTTTCCACACAAATAAATAAGCAGATTAGATAGAAAATGAATTTCCAGGGGGACAACATGGGACAGAATTTAAGATAATTGATATTATTATATGCATAACAAATTCAGCTTTATACATATTTGATTGTTTTAATATATTAACACAGCTAGATTTGAATGTATATAATAAACACACAAAGAACTCTTTGTGAGCCTCAGCAGCACTCAGATTCTTCCCAGGTAAAAAGGGAACATTTTCTAGACTGGGTTTTGTAAGACAGTTCTCATAGAAACGGGGGCTCTGAACTTAATGGGGTAAAGCTGGAAGACAACAATAGAAGTAAAACCAGAGAATTCACAATGTTGTGAAAATTAATAACACATTTTAGAATGAGCAGTGAATCAAAAAAGAATCCACAAGGGAAATTATAGAATACTGAGAGATAAGTAAAAATGAAAATGCAATATACCAAAACTTAGGGGACTAGGGCAAGCAGGACTTAGGAGATTTGTAGCTATAAACACATTAAAAAACAAGTATTATCCCAAGGCATTAACCTAACAATAACTTAGAAGAAGGATAAGGAAAACTCAAAGTGAGAAGGAGGTGGAAAATAATAAATATTAGAATAGTGATAAGCAAAACTGAACAGAGAAACGGTTGATAAATCAATAAATTGGAAAATTGGTTACTCAAAAAAAAAAACCCCACATACAAAAAACTAATTTCTACCTGGATGGACATGAAAAAAGAGAAATAAGGTTTGAGTTATTAAAAATAAAAGACAAGCTTGGAGGGGTGGTGGTGGCATATATCATATAATCTCAACACTTGGGTGGCTTAGATAGGAGGATCTCAAGTTCAAGACTACCCTGAGCTACATAGGAAGACTCCATCTTAAAAAAAAAAAAACCAGCCAACAAACCAACCAAACAAGGGCCAAGCAGGAATGGAATCAGTAAGGAAAAAAACAAGGGCTAAGCAGGCATGGAGTCAATCTGGAGAGAATGGAGCACTTGCCTGATGTGTGAAGCCCTAATTTGAGCCACAGCAGTGCAACAGAAACAGCAGTGAACAACACCCCACACTGGTGATAATAATGGAAATAATAAGGGACCAAAGTGGGGAATCTCACTACCGTTTCTATAGAAACAAAAAGACCGTAAGAAAGCACTGGGAACAATTGTATATGAAGATCTCACATAATCTAAATAAAGTCAGAAAATTTTAGATATGTTGAACCTACCCAGGAAAAAAAAATGGAGAAACAGGAACTGTGAGAGAGTCTTTCGGTGGCAAGTTTCATCAAGAATCTATAAACAAACAAACAGACCAACCCTGGGATGAAAAGATTCCTGAGTGAATTCTTCCAAGTATTTG